GAAGGTTATTGCTCACTTCATAATGTCCAAATTGCCTAACAAAGACACGTAGCTGCACATCTACGTCACATCTACTTGTTTCATCTTCATCATCCTGGTAGATGGCAGCAGATTTTTTTTATCAAGAATGTCTCAGTACATTTTTCCATTCATCCTTCCTTCAATTATATGAATTTTGCCAGTGCCACACCATGATGTTTTTGGGGTGATGTGCAGTGCCATTTGACCTCCAGATATGGTGTGTATTATGGCATCCAAAGAGTACAATGTTTGTCTCATCTGACCAGACTATATTCTCCCAGTATTTCACAGGCTTGTCTAAATGTTGTACAGCAAACTTTAAAAGAGCTTCAACAGGCTTTTTCTTCAGCAATGGAGTCTTGCATGGTGAGCGTGTATACAGGCCACGGCGGTTGAGTGCATTACTTACTGTTTTCTTTTAAACAATTGTACATGCTAATTCCAGGTCTTTATGAAGCTCTCCACAACTGATCCTTGGCTCTTGGACAACTCTTCTGATAATTCTTTTCACTCTGTTTCACTGTTTATGGTGAAATTATGTTCTTTCCACTTCCGGATTATGGCCCCAACAGTGCTCACTGGCACATTCAGAAGTATAGAAATCCTTCTGTAACCAATGCCATCAGTATGTTTTGCAACAATAAGGTTGTGAAGGTCTTGAGAGAGCGCTTTGCTTTTACCCATCATGAAATGTTTCTTGTGTGACGTTGGTCATGAAACACCTTTTTATAGGCCATCAGTTGGGACTAAACCAGCTAATATTAATTTCCACTGACAAGGGGCAGGATTGCTTTCTAATTACTGATAGATTTCAGTTGGTGTCTTGGCTTTCCATGCCTTTTTGCACCTCCCTTTCTTCATGTGTTCAGTACTTTTTCCCTGGGTCATTCCACTTTATTACATAGAACTTAATTTCTGAATTTATTTGTTTTGTTTTCTTTGTATGTACGGACTACTTGGGTTACCGACATCTGGTGAAAATTTCATGTCAACAGCACCTTTAGAAATATATTTACTGAGAAAAATGGTGACATGTCCAATATTTATTTTACCCTCTCTCTCTCTCTCTCTCTATATATATATATATATTTAGTAGCGGATAGCCTTGCCATATTAATATGGCGAATATTATTGCTGTGATTGACCAATCCGTGTAATAATAATAATAATAATGATGATGATAATCTATCTATCTATCTATCTATCTTGGAGAAAAAGTCATTTATTCTAAATTGGCTCATGTTGACTGCTGCGCCATAATCTAAAGATCTTCTGCTTCCGTCTAGCTTCCCATATTTACCTGTTTGATCGGTAGGATCCATCTGTGATCTGTATTAGTGCTGGGCGGTATGACCAAAAATTTATATCACGGTATTTTTCAAAATTATACCA